GGAAAGAGTTTCAGCTTTGTAGTCAGATAGATGGAAGTTCAATCCTGGCTACAACAGTAGCTGTGTAACCTTAGGTAAGTCATTTAACCTTCATTTCCACATCCATCAATTGAGGATAATAATACCTACTTAGTAGGTAGAAATGAGCAGTAGAAATAGTGTATATAAAAAGGTTGCATGCCATTCTTAGCAAAGAGTAGGTCCTTAATAAGCAATCATTATTAGATTATGATATCATAAATTGCAAAAGAACATCTTTAAAAGAAGATAATACCCTTTAGAGATTTATATATAGTGCCTAAAATCAAGATTGACTTTGGGTTTATAATTCTATCACATTTGCCCTTGATTTGCATTTATAAAAGAACAAGGTTTTACTCAGACTGTTGTCAGTGGTTTGGTATAAGTAGATGCTGCAGACTAACTTACAAATTAGGTATATCTAGATTTTCGCAGGTAAATCAAGACTTGCGACTCAAGACAATGTTTATATCATACTTACCTAGAACTGTCAAACTAAATTTGAACCAATCTAACAAATAGAAAAGAAATGAAATAATCTTTTAAGAATCGTGTAGTTTTAAAACTTTTGTTGGTGAGCACTGTAGTGTACATAGATGTCAAAATATAATTTACACATAAAATTTATATAATGTTATAAACCAGTTACCTCAATAAATAAAAAGAATTAAAGGGAATTATGTAGTTTTAAAACTAGAAGTTTAAGATGCTGTTAAATTATAGTACTGCAGATTTGCCTGATTTCTGGCCTGTTCATTCAAGAAATATGTATCGAGCACCTACTATGTGCCAGGCACTGTACTAAGTCTTGGGGTTCATCACTGAACAAGACAAGTTTCTTATCTTCATGTTGTTTAAAAGAGTTGGGTGTCTCAGGATTTGTCTGAGAATATTTTGTTTTGAATGAAGTAGGTAGATCTTGTATACAATGAAAAGTCTGTTTAGATGTGCTCTACTGTTTGATTTTGCACCTATGTGCCTGTATATATTATCTTCTGACTCTGATAAAAATGTATTTCCTCTACTTACTAACAAGAAACTAATATATAACTTTGCTACTTTTATTAATGGTATTCTATAAAGGTGAGATAAGACCAAACTGAATTGGAAACCTTTACTTAAAATAATAGCTACGGGGTTTCCCTGTGTCGCAGTGGTTAAAAATCTGCCTGCCAATGCAAAGGACACGGGTTCGAGCCCAGGCCCGGGAAGATCCCACATGCCGCGGAGCAACTAAGCCCATGCGGCACAACTGTGGAAGCCCACGTGCCACAGCTACTGAAGCCTGCGCGCCTAGAGCCCGTGCTCCGCAACAAGAGAAGCCACGACAATAAGAAGACTGCGCACTGCAATGAAGAGTAGCCCCCGCTCACCACAACTAGAGAAAGCCCACGCACAGCAACGAAGACCCAACAAAATAAATAAAATAAATAAATAAATAAATTTATTACCAAAAAAAATAACAGCTACAACTTCACAACAATAATGCATTCACAAGCCTTAAGGATTCTCTTTAAGCGACGTATTTTCATTTTGGAACAAGTTGATGCATTGAGATGAGAATTCTGTTTATTTGGGAGGGAAGTTTTTTTGAATCATAACATTCTTGAACTGTTCTCCAAGTGTTGAAATAATCAGGCTTGCCGCTGTTGCTGAGTGAATTCCCCTCTTTATGTAGAAAAGAACTAGGAAAAATTAAGTATGCCTGTAGATCTGAGCTGATTCATTCTAGCTGACTTCTGAACTCCGTGCTAATTAACTTTTCTATATTTTAGATTAAAGCTTTCTGCACTGAACCAAGATAAACTGTTCACTGATGTAAATAGGAACCTATGGGAAAAAGTGAGACACTACTCTGATGAGGAGGTACTTTTGTCTCATTTTCTGAATCAGTATACACATTTTGAAAAATGTTTATTGTGAAATTAGTAACTGTTACTTGATACTTAGTGATGAGTTCTTTAAAATTTACTTCTCAGATATAATATGTAAACAAGATTTTATTATACATGAATGATTATTAATATATAATCTTTTCAAACCTTAAGTGATCAATTTAATATATGAAATATATTTGAAATTTATTTAGAGTTCCCTTCTTGTTTGCTTTTCACTTAGATTAAGACGGGGAAGAGATTTACTTTAATTGATTAAATAATAAGCAACTCATTTTATATTTGCCCTAATTAAAGAATTTTATTAACTAAGAGCCGGTCATTTTCTAATTTGTAATATAAGTGAATTAAAAGTAAGAATCAAAATTGAAATCTTTGGTTCTGGACTTAAACTATTAAATCGTATTAAATTTGCAAATGAGAAGCCTTAGGAATCAGAGTCTAGGATGGGCAAAGCTTATCAGGTACCAGCTGAACCAGCCTTCCCAGACCATTTGCCTTCTCTAACTCATTTGTTTGAGTGCAGTGTAATCTTTGATTTTCCCTTACAGCTGAAGGCCTTTGGAATTTACCTGAACAAAATAAAATCACGTTTTACCAAGATGACTAAAGTCTTCACTCACCAAGGAAAAGTGTCCCTGTACAGCAAGCTGGTACAGTCGGCTCAGGTAATTTGAGACAGTTAAGAGCTTAGAAAGATCTATTAAAATTACTTTATAGTTGGGGCTTCCCTGGCGGCACAGTGGTTGAGAGTCTGCCTGCCGATGCAGGGGACGCAGGTTCGTGCCCCGGTCCGGGAAGATCCCACATGCCGCGGAGCAGCTGGGCCCGTGAGCCATGGCCACTGAGCCTGCGCGTCCAGAGCCTGTGCTCCGCAACGGGAGAGGCCACAACAGTGAGA